TTAGGGTAGCTTTTCACGCTATACCTGTTAGCTACCCTGTTAGGGTAGCTTTTCACGCTATACCTGTTAGCTACCCTGTTAGGGTAGCTTTTCACCCATCTTCTCCTCTCCCCTTCCCCCTGCTGGATTAGCACAGTTCACTTCCTGCTCTGTATTTATTTGTTCATTTATTTATTTATTTTTTGAGACAGAGTCTCAGTATGTCACCCTCAGTAGAGTGCTAGGGCAGCACAGCTCACAGCAACCCCAAACTCTTTGGGCTTAAGCGATTCTCTTGCCTCAGCCTCCCAAGTAGCTGGGACTTCAGGTGCCCACCACAACACCCAGCTATATTTTGTTACAGTTGTCATTGTTTTTTAACTGATCTGGGTCAGGTTCAAACCCACCAGCCTCGGTGTATGTGGCTGGAACTGTTAACCACTGTGCTACAGGTGCCGAGCCAACGTGTCCATTCTTCTTTCTTTTCTGCTGCACATTGGAAGAATAAAGGGCATGCAGTAAACCCACAAAAGCTGATTAGCACCCCCCAAAAGGTCCCAGCATGCTTTTCATGGTATCTGATACCACAGATAGGCAAAAAAAAAGTCCTCTGAAAATCAGCACATAGGTCACAGGTTGGATACTTCCTGCTCTGGATACTTGGGATAATGGGCTTCAGATCCATCCAGATTCTTGCAGAAGGTCTTAATTCATTGTTCTTCACAAAGGAGTAGTATTCTATAGAATACATATATTTATATTATATTCTGTTAATCCAGTCATGAACTGATGGACACTGGGTTGATTCCATACCTTTACAACTGTGAATTGTGCTGCAATTTTTAATGAAATGACCTCTTTTCCTTTGAGTAGATACCTAGAAGCAGGACTGCTAGATCAAATGGTCGGTCTACTTTTAGTTCTTTGAGAAAGCTCCAAACTATCTTCCATAAAGGCTGTATTAATTTTCAGTCCCACTGACAGTGTGTCAGCATGCCTTTCTCTCTAGGCATGCCAGCATCTGTTTTTTTTTTTTTTAAGAGACGGAGTCTCACTTTATTGCCTTCTGTAGAGTGCAGTGACGTCACAGCTCACAGCAACCTCCAACTCTTGGGCTTAGGCGATTCTCTTGCCTCAGCCTCCTGAGTAGCTGGGACTTCAGGCTCCCGCCACAACGCCTGGCTTTCTTTTTAAATTTTAATTGCAGTTTGGCTAGGGCCAGGTTCGAACCCATCACCCTCGGTATATGGGGCCAGCACCCTACCCACTTAGCCACAGGCACCACCTGAGCATCTGTTGTTTTTTGGACATTTTAGTAAGTGCCATTCTAACTTCTTACTAATAAGGTAAGTTGTGGTTTTAATTTGCATTTCCATAATAATTAGTGACATTGAACATTTTATTGGCCATTTGTCTATCTTTTGGGTTTTTTTGTTTTGTTTTGTTTTCCTGAAAAAAAAATTTTTTTATTAAATCGTAGCAGTGTACATTAATACTATCATAGGGTACAGTGTACTGTTTCTATATGCAATTTGAAATACTTTCATCCGGCTGGTTAACATAGCCTTCATGTCTTTTTCTTAGTTATTGTGTTAAGACATATTCTACATTTAGAGAGATTCACATGTACCCTTATAGGATGAACCATAGGTGTGATCTCACCAATCACCCTCCCTCCGCTCCCCCTCCCCCCTCCCCTTCCTTCCCTCTCCATTCTGCTCATATTCCTGGGCTAAAATTGGGTTATAGTTTTCCTTTGAAAGCTATAAATTAGTTTCATAGTAGGGCTGAGTACATTGGATACTTTTTCTTCCATTCTTGAGATACTTTGCTAAGAAGAATATTTTCCAGCTCATTTGTCTATCTTTTGAAAAGCTTCTGTTCATATCTTTTTCCAAGTTTTTTTCTTTTTTTTTTTTTTTTTTTGAGACAGAGTCTTTGTCACCCTCAGTAGAATGCTATGGCATCATAGCTCACAGCAACCTCAAATTCTTGGGCTCAAGTGATTCTCTTGCCTCAGCCTCCCATGTAGCTGGGACTACAGGCATCCACCACAACGCCCAGCTATTTTTAGAGACGGGGTCTCCCTCTGGCTCAGGCTGGTTTGGAATCCGTGAGCTCAGGGCAGTCCACCTTAGCCTCCCAGAGTGCTAGGATTACAGGCGTCAGCCATCGAGCCTGGCCTTTTACCCACTTTTTATTGGGATTGTTTTTTCCTTGATGATTTGCTTGAGTTCTTTGTAGACTCTGGTTATTAGCCCTTTATTGTATCTATCTTGCAAATACTTTCTCCTATTCTATAGATTGTGTTTTTTTTTTTTTTTTTTTACTTTATTTATTTATTGAGACAGAATCTGTGCCCTGGGTATAGTGTTGTGGTATCATAGCTCACAGTACCCTAAAACTCTTGAGCTCAAGCCATCATCTTGCCTCAGCCTCCCAAGTAGCTGAGACTACAGGTACTCAACACCTGGCTAGTTTTTCTGTCTATTAAAGAAATGGGGTCTCCCTCTTGCTCACGCTTTCCACCCTCCTCAGCCTCCCAGAGTGCCAGGATTACATGTTTCCTGACATTTTCTTCTAGAATTCATGGTTTCATACCTTACATTTGT